CATTGTTCCCTGTCATGGTGTGTGTTTCTTCAGACAGAATCCCTAACTTGTTGAATGCAAGCTTCTTTCGAGCAAGTTTTCTGTATCTCTTTTCAGTCTTTGTAATCTCCAAATCAAGTGAAAATTCTGGCTTTTTACCTCGCATACAACACAGAAAAGAGATTAGTAGCACTGTTCAAATATCACATAGAAATCAAAAAATAAAAATAAAAATAAAAATAAAATCCAATCTTAAAGATCAAAATTAATTAATATAAGAAACGCCAATCCCCGGCAACGGCGCCAAAAACTTGATGCTTCCCGGCAAGTATACCGATCGCACAAGTAATATAATGATAAGAAAAGTTCGTCTCCACAGGGATTGTGATCGTATATCAAATAATTGTCCTTTCAAGAATGGAGGAGTTCAAATAGTTTGTGACAAATATTGTCGATTTGTGTAAAAGTGAGAACTGAAAATAAAGACTTGTTTTTGGCTTTTTGTTATAAGAAATAGAACAATAAAAATGAGAATTGATTTGTGAAAATATGAGAGGAGGCATTGTAGCTAGAGTGCACTCACCATATGATCCCCACTTCTTACTTTGGATTGATTTAAAAATACTTATTTGTATAAATGCTCAGATAATTATCATCTAGAATTAATTAGTTAAATTCCAATCCCTTGGCAATTTAACCCTTTAACCTCAATTGAAATCCTAATCCCTTAGTAACCCCTCATGAAAATTAAGCAATGAACATGATAATTAAAGCATCTGCAATTAACATACGTCTATTCCTAGTACGCATATGAATTGTTATTTTGCTCCCTTTCAAGATTAAAACCCCCAATATTCCAATCTAGGATTCGAATCCTCAAACTATTATCAACTATTAGATTGATCAAGTCTAACAAAGAGAATAGAAATTACGCACAGAGTAAGATAAAGAAATTGATATAAACGAGTAGAATTAAACCAATCCGTCGTAACAAGGTTCACATAAGGTTTGTGACCCTAACTACAATAAAAAGAAAACTAGCCAACCTTTATCATGGCTGAAAATTCAATATTCAATGTTACTTGGAATGTAAGAACAGAAGAATAAAGATGAAGATGAATTTCTCTCTGGAACTCTCCTTCTGAAGCAATCCTTGTTTCCTTCCTCTCTGCCGTCAAAAGGTCTCCTCCTTCTGTCAGAAAACATTGTTTTTATAGTCTCTTTCTTCATATTGTAAAATTACCCTTTTGAAAACACGGGGATGTGGTTTTCGCAATCTGGCGCTCTTAGCGTCAATTTCACGCTAAGAGCGTGGCTGCCTCTGAATTCTGACGCCACTAGCGTGGGTTCCACGCTATGAGCGTGGGTGCAAGAAAAGTTTCACGCAACTAGCGTGAGTTCCACGCTATGAGCGTGGGAATCTCTGTTTCTTCACGCCATCAGCGTCACATCCACGCTATGAGCGTGGACCTTAACTTTGGTCAATTCCCATTTGACTCTAATTTGTCCGCTTTTCCTACAAAATTAGCATAAAATCAGTTGTACTAACCTTGATTTGGAATTTCAACAAAGCAACAATAAATATTGCCTTTTTACTCAGGATTAACCACTAATCTTTCTCTTTTTGGCTTGAATTTACCTATATGCTGGAGGCATATCATACCCTATTTATGGTATGAGGTTATTCAATTTTGTTATTTATTGCAATTTACATACAGGCAGTTTTTGAAAAAGATTCACTGAGTTAATATGATAAGATTCATAATTGAAATTTTTAGCTTCCGCATTTATCAGAGTTGCGCTTCTTACCATTTATATGTTTAATACACCGGGTCCACACGGGGTGTTACAATCTGCCTTTAACATACCTCTCAAACGCAAAGAATAATCAATACACATCAACATTCCTTCTTAAATAAAGAACATAAACATGCTATTGTAATTGTAAACCATACAAGACGTACCTAAAATGGCTAAACATATAAACTCTGAGTCCATATGTCTATGATTCTAGGAAAGAGTCTGGTTCAAACAGGTGTGATCTTCACCTACTTACATATCACCCATTTATTGCCATTATTGGGTATGATTGCCCGCACATACCAAGGACATCCATCAGTATAGTTTTGACATCTCATTGCAAACCTATGCTCATCACTTTTTGCAACTATGGTTGTACGGTGAATCTTCATATATAATAATTTTATGGCATGTTGCATTTCAGACTTGATCTCGAACTCCTGTTGCACAAATAATGGATCCCCTAATTGCCAGGCACCGTGCAACTCATCATCATCGTACATCATCTCTTCAATGGGGCGCACCCCATTAATGTATGTATAATGCTGGTTATCATTCAAGATCGGCATAGTCTCTGACATTACACCTAAACCATGATTTTTTATTATGCATTAACAAGGTAATTGTGACATGTTAAATGAAAAAAGGAATTTACTAAGTAACGATCATTAACTGGGGCAACATGAAGTAGTGATAAATAAGGAGAACTCATGTTTACTGGTTTTATGTCCGCATCAAAATCACCCTCCACATTAATATCCGATGAATCACTAAGTGGAATAACACTTTCAGGTTCTCCCTCTTCATCACTGTCCACATGGTCATCCTCCTCACTTTCTCGCTCCCCTGATGTTATCTGATTTAACATTCATGGAGGTGCATATGAGCCGACAAATCTATCTTCTTGACCAAAATACCGTTCAGTGCTCGTATGCATGGGTAAAGAAGACAGCTGACCAGAATCAACTTCAGCATAAATATGCCTTCTAGACAATTGCTACATAAGTGTTGGAACTTGAACTCATCTTTCACACGAAATTAGGATTAGGGTTTTGATTTTTGAACAAAATTTGTAATACCTAAGTGTAATGACAATGATTTAATAAGATTAAAGGTTTAGGGATGATAGGATGAAAGTCAATTTGATGGGTTGAAATAGAGATGAGAAACGAGTGGGATTTTGGAATAAAAAATTGGGCATAATTAAAATGAGGTCGAAACCCACTAATATAGGGCTTCTATGCACCATTTACTCGAGTAACTGAGTAACTTAACCGCTCAAAATTTACTCGAGTACGTGACTCATATACTCGAGTATTTGGTCCAGTCAACGGTTAAGCAAGGACAAATTGGTATATAATTTTGATTAAAGGTTAAGAATTTTAAATAGTTTAAAAACGGGGATAAAGTGATAATATTTATTTTAATCAGGGGCAAAAAGGTCAATCACCCTGCGACTTTGTCTAGTCACGTAGACAATGCATGCTGTTTTTCTTCTCTAGATTTCAAATTTTGAAACATTTAATTCTTTTAAAGCCACTGATCTTTTTTTCATATTAACAATTAATTTTAAGAAAAAAGATGGGTTTAACTTTTCTATTAAATTATCTCCTTTCTCCATTAAATATTAATATTTTCTCATACAAATTATTTTTAATCATAAATTCATAACGCCAAACACTTAATTTTTCGATCACTATAGTTAAAATTGAGATTTTATCATAGGATTGTACATCGTATGATTTTCTTCCCCTTAATTTCCAATTCAAGTCCAAAGTAAAATCATACTTCATATATGATTTATGATCCTGCTAACCCTTTAGATCTTAAGTAACATTTAAGCAGGTATGTTGAAACGGATTGACACGACACGAATTTTTATTTGTATCAGAATCTTCGACACGAAGACGACACAATTTTTTTGCGGGTTGATAAGACATGACACGAATGACATGCAAACTATGAGTCAAAATAGTAATTGACCAATAAAATTTTAAAAAATAGGTCAAAATTAAAAAAAATTAAAAAAATGGATCGAATTCATGTTGACACGACACAATACACAACATGACACAAATCTTTTTGCAGGTCAACCTGAACACAAATTTTCATGTTGTGTTGCAGATCGACCCTCGTGTCATAATCTGTTTTGACATCGTACATTTAAGATCTTGAGTGTGATTACCTTATTTTAAATCATTGGAGATCATTTTCAAAAACATTTATATATGGATCAATAAACTAAACATGAAAAAACCAAAATTCTATTAGAGTCATCATCGATGTTATGATACCGCATTTTAGTTATATAAAAAATTGATGTTCAACAATGAAAGATCAAACCCGAATAAAATGAAAAAAAAAAAAACATGAATAAAGATCTTAATAATTCATAGTTTTCATATTTACATGATTATGTCAATATACAACAATTTTATCACTGCTTAAAAAATCAATACTTCAATCTGTAAAAACTACAATACAATAATAATTTTTTTATTAATTTCTTGATCGTACTTTCTTATTATATTATATTTTTGATAGATATATATATATATATATATATATATATATATATATATATATATATAATCCAAAAGATATAAGTAGTCACATTAACATATTCATGATTATTCCCATCAAATAAAAATGAGAAAAATATTTGTCATTTTAAATGAGAAAAAGAGATAGATCATAGAGGAGAGAGAGTGGATAAAAAAATAAAACTATGAATCCTATTTTTTTATGAGAGTAAAATAACACAAATTGTGTTATTTAAAAAAAATAAATATTTTTCCCGCTAATCAAAGAGTTACTATTAAATAATTCTTTTTTATTATTAAATCCTATACAGTTGTCATATACGTAAACAGGTCTTGTATAGTTATTAAATAGCTAACAACAAAGAAAACTATAACGTGACCTAACGAATCATGATCTACTGTCTCTTGGTATTATCCTTAAATATATATCAAAGTCAAATCAATTGCCATTTCATATAAATAGTCTAACATAGAAATAATAGTACACATTTATATTTAATATTTTACATTAACTTCTTTGTTAGTCCTCACTAAAATAATAGCAACTTACATGAACTTCTTTTAAACTTTTTTCATTCATGTTCCGTCACGTCACGTAACTCAACTCAAGTGAGACTTCCAATGTGGTCCCTTGCATCACCACATTTTCTCTTCAATCAAACAACGTCGTCTAGTGTCTCTCTCTCTCTCTCTCTCTCTCTCTCTCTCTAGGTGACTCTAGAGAGAAAAAAATTCAAAACAAGAATCATTAGCTACCCTACCCAGTTACCACTTTATCAATCTTTTTTCCTTCAATTCGAAGTTGATCTATGAGAAAATGAACAACTCATGTGGTGATGGTTCTTCTCTTCCCACCACTTTCGTGGGTCTTCTGCTTCTTCAGTCGAGAACCAAATCCACCTCTTGCAACAACACACGTGTCTACACTTCCTCTGAGCTCCTCAGTGACTTTGCCACAAGAGAATTCAATGCCTCTCTGTGGCTTTCCCTCATTGTTATCACTACCCTTTTGCTCAGGAAACTCTTCAAGCTCTTCAGTTTGTGGCACAAGGCTAAAAACATTCCTGGGCCTCCATGTCCCTCTTTCTTTGGCCACTACAAGCTCGTTTCCCAGGAAAATTTCACCGGTGAGTTTTTTATGATGATTTTTTCTCCCTCCACTCCCATGAATTTGTTTAACTGGTATTTATTTTCAAATTCAGTTTTTTTTTTTGGCTTCTATTAGAATAAAAGTGATTCTAATAGCTTCTAATAAAGTAAACTTTTGGGTTTAGTCTGTTAATCTGGAATTTGAGACTTATTGGGTGGTTTACTGATATGGGGTCTTGTGTTATGCTGGTTTGTGATCTATTTGGATGTTGATATCAATTTTTAATTATTGTTCTTTTGGAAATTGTTGTGGATTGAAGGGTTTATTGTATATTGTGAAATTCATCCTGTTTTGGTTTCTAGCTGGTTGAGTGGATGAATTTCTTTCTGAGTTATATGCATGGAAAGAGATGAAGAATTCCTTCATTTGCTTACTATTTGTTGTTTTCCGAAATTAGATCGTATTCTTTATGCATCACCCTTTGTTAATAGGAAATCATTAATAAAGTAAAAAGATGACATGAGACTTTAGATAACAGTTATAATCTGTTTTGGTTGTTAATATTGGTTTGGTTCTTTCTTTTTCTTTGAGATTTGAGATATTTAGTATCAATTTTATCTTTTGCATAAGTGGGATATTCTGGTACAATGTAGATTCAATGATTTTGTGGAATAATGTCAAACTCGGTTCTTTTGGGTTTAGACTTAGTTGATGACTTGATGATAAATTTAGCTATGTGCTTCTGGTTCCAGCATGTTGGGAGAAGAGTAGAAGACAGAGGAGATATTTTCTCTAAGGGCGAAGATGATTCATTTCTCATTCAGACTATAATTCAAGTTACAAAATTTGTAACTCCACAAGAAATACATAAAGATACTTAAGACCACTATAAACACACATAACTCCTTCAGAAACACAAAAGACGCATAACTTCACATTTAAACTAAAACACTAAAACAGCCTTAACGTCATTTAAACTAAATTAAAATGACACATTATTCTAACATTCTCCCCCTTAATGTGCAATTTCTCCACACCAAGCTGCTCTCTTAGCGATTGAAATTTCTCCCTTGGCAATGCCTTGGTGAAAATGTCTGTGTACAAACTTCAAAACAATTTCGCTGTTCTCAACAATTTCTCTAATAAAATGATACTGGCTATATGTTTAGCTCTGCTATGTTGGACTGGAATTTTAGCCAATGCAATCGCTTATTTGTTGTCACAATAAATCTCAGTTGCTTCATCTTGCTTTTCTTCCACATCTTCCAATATTCTTCTCAACCAAATTGCTTGAGAATTTGTCATTGCAGCTAAAATATATTCAGCTGCAGCTGATGATTGTGCAACAGATTGTTGCTTCTTTGAACTCCACGAAAAAACTCCTAAACCAAACATAAAAACATATCCAGAAGTACTTTTTCATTTATCTCCTTAAAATTCTTTTTGTAGAATTTCTCATGCTTGTTTTGCCTTTGTTGCCCTAATAATTATTGGGAAGATCATGTCTGAAACTCCTCTGAGTTATAGCCAAAACGGCTGCATCGATGTGTTTCTTCTCCCGTGCTTCCTTCCTCTGAGTTGCAGTCAGAGCCGCTCCAGGCTCTTCAAACCCATTTTCTACTAGATCCCACACATTTAGTGACTCGAACAAAGTCTTCACTTTGACGCACCAAAAATCATAATTTCACCCTGTAAAAACAAGGACTTGAATTGTTGAATTCGCCATATCTTCTTCAAATCTTGTAGGTCCTTTCCAAATCTTCAACCACTAGATCTTCAAGCATTGGTACCAATTTTGTTGGGAGAAGAGTAGAAGACAGAGGAGATATTTTCTCTAAGACTGAAAATGATTAATTTCTCTTTCAGATAATAATTCAAGTTACAAAATTTGTAACTCCACAAGAAATACATAAAGACACTTAATACCACCATAAACATACATAACACCTACAGAAACACGTAACATTTAAACTAAATTAGTAAAACAACCTTAACATTTAAACTAAATTAAAATGACACATTATTGTAACATAGCATGATATAAATTTGTAGTTGAATAAATAACTTTTTGCTTTGTAGATTCTTCATTTATGTACTATTGATTTGCTAAGTTGCCACAACTGGGTCATATTCCTTACTTAAAATATTGGGGAATTATTAATATAGCGAAGAGAGGACAAAAGTTAAAAGATACTTTGATTTGACCATCCTTTATTAAATATATTCAGGTATGCTGTCCCTTAAAGGCGAACTTATCCATAGGCTAATATCCATGTTGTATTGTGATTAGTTTTGTGCTTTAGGTTGTATGATGTTAAATACTGAAAGACTTTGAGATTGAATGCTGTGATCTTCACCTTTGTTTCAGAATGAAATGGAGATAAGAAATTTGTTATTGAAATTAAATACTCTCTTTGAGTTTAAGATTAAAACAGTTGCCAGATTGAGTGGAAACTCTTATTAGTGCAATAGCCATGGTTATGCTCAGCTCCTAAAAACTGTTTATAAACTTCTACCCATTGCTTGTAAATGAAAATTTAGAATACTTTGTTTGAATGGCTAAAATTGTTAGTTATCATTTTTTGTTGGTTTCATAATTTTATGAATTAGGCACTGAGTAAAAAATGATTGAATGTGGTGCTCTACTGTTAACCATATAATTGCTTTTCTATTGTTAGTAATTTGTTTTTGGCATTGATTGATGAATAATATTATATCAGATGTAATTTTATATTTATTTTTTTACTTGGACTTTGATTTCCAGATTTGTTGTCAGAATCCCATGAGAAGTATGGACCAATTGTTAAGCTGTGGTTAGGTCCTACTCAGCTTATTGTATCAGTTAAGGATCCAGTGCTAATTCAAGAGATGCTTATGAAGGCGGAGGATAAGCTTCCTTTTACTGGAAAAGCATTTCATCTAGCCTTTGGACAATCAAGCCTCTTTGCCCCTTCCTTTGATAAGGTGCTTAACTGTCTAATTCCCCTCCACACCCCATCTTCTGTTCCGGTCCCTATATCATAATTTATTGTGTTTATGATAGTCTTGACCTATTTTGTAACCTAATCTTTTGTTTACTCGGACGAAGTTTCAAGCAATGCCAGATGAAAAGTGAAAACTAATATATGCCTGTGTTAGGACACTGCCTACCATTAAGGTGTACACTAGGAAGAGCTGCAGGTGATTAAAACCATAGGCAAGGCAAAGGATGGGTGAGACTAGATTTAGGAGGGGAAATATATTTGTAACTGAATTGGATTAGAAAACATATAAAGGGATGTGAGGAGTGAAGAATTGAGAGAATAGTAAGAAGAGGAGAGCCCTGGCCTCTCGAAAGCCAGCTGCTATAATTTCCCTGTTTTATCATTTTCTTCAGTTTTTCATATTGAACACAGATCTATATAGTTTTGGCCTTGTTTGAAGTTGATACTAGTGGAATTAATACGAGTTTTAGTGTTTTCCATATCAATTTCGAGTTATTCTTCTTTGGTTCCTAACTGTCTGCAGAAGCAATTGAAATAATTTCTCTTTCAATGTACTTGGAAGTATAAATCAGTACTCATATGACCCTTAAGCCAAGGCATTATATTTCACCGTTGAACTGGATTTTAATGTGAAATCTTTTCTTTTAAATTTATATTCAGTTATTCTTATTACATATGCTTTTCAATTATTTTGTGTCGACATAATAACTACTCTCGCATTGTATTGACATAATTTCCCTTCTCCCAATGATAAATATGTCCACTAGAGCATTGTGCACTAGTGATTTGTTCAGCAGTTTCGAAATGTTTGGGGTCTTTCCGTTTTGAGACCTCCTGTGTTCTGATCAAACTACTCTTTGTTCATATATTTTGATTGTGCATCTTAAATGTTGTCTGCAGAACTTACAGATCCTGTAATTTATTGTGTTCTCATTCTGACTACAGCAGCTTGGAATTTAATTTAAATTGTCTTTAGGTGCAAAAGAGAAGGGAATTATTGGCAACTGAATTGAATGAAAGATTGGTGAAGACTGCTGATCTGATCCCTATGAAGGTTGCAGACTTTACCATAGATAAAATAGAAAACATCAGAGCCAGAGGAAGTATTGATTGTAGGTTGGTTTCTCAGCATATGGCTTTCACCATACTGGGAGCCACATTCTTTGGAGATGGCTTCTTGGCCTGGCCAAAGGCAGCAATTTATGAGGATCTGCTAATGATGATTGCTAAAGATGCTTGCTTTTGGGCTTCCTATAATGTTACTCCTTTCTGGAGACGAGGATTTTGGAGGTATCAATGCTTGTGTTCAAAGTTGAAGTGCTTAACTCAAGACATCCTTAAAGATTGCAGAAAAGGCTGCAAGTTATTTGACCACATTGATCAAAATGTACATAATGAAATTTTCAATGTAGAAATGAAATCAGTACATGATACACAATGCTGTTCTGATGATGAATTCCAAGATTACTATTTCTTTCGTGACCTTAGTGATGATCAAAATGCTAAAGAAGGACCTTGTGCGAACATCATGCGTGTGATGTTTCATGGATGTCAAACTACAGCTGCTTTAATTGCCAATGTATTGACTAGGCTTGTCATGCATCTCGAAATACAGGATAAGGTCGCAATCTGTTCTTCTGTCTTCATTGTATCCAATTCATAAATGGAATCCAATGTGGATCATTTTATTTTAGTTTATTCTCCAGTGCTCAAAACCAAGAGTGTAATTCCTATACTGAGTCTTCTTAAATTATTCCCTAGATTTACTAAATCTATTTATATATGAAGTTAAAACCTGGAGTCTACATTGGATTTACAATCTGCTAATTGAGAAGAGTACTGGTTAAGGTGAATATGTTTAAACATTGAAATTTTCTGGTACTTTAGGATGAACATACTTTGTTTGGAAATGTGCATTTGCAAATTACCTCTCTGTTTATGGCTGTGTCTGGTGTATTGGCAGATATTAAAGTGTCATTTCCCCCTATCATTTTTAGATGAAATTTCTTGACTAGATTGTTGTCAACACATTTAACAAACAATTATTCTAGTATCTTTTTGAAGAAAAAAACATATTGCTGCTAATATATGCTTTCGTTTATATGCAAAGGTTTGTCTGCTGAAATTTTTTATATCCAATGCCTTTTTTTTTTTAAATAGGTTGAATTTAGTCCTTGATGTCTGCAAGGCATTGCTTGTTGCTTATTTTCTTATGCTTTTGCAGGTTTATTCAGAGATTTGCATGGTAGGGAGAAACCCATCGAAGTATGAGCATGAAGATATTTATAGGATGCCTTTGTTATTGGCTACAGTTTATGAATCTGCACGCCTTCTGCCCAGTGGTCCCATGCTGCAGAGGTGTTCTTTGAAACACGGTGAGATATTACTTACTATATTCTATGAAGCAAGTATAACATAGTTTTGAAGGCATGGGTTCCTTGAGCTTCTTGTGCCCAAAAACTAACTGATTTGAAACCTTTGCAACTTTTCTGTTTACTCGTGGGCACTGCGTACATGTGCATTGCTTGGTTAAGCATTAACATTGATGTATTGAGAGAAAGAAGTTAGGAGTTTTTATCCTGTATCTACAATAGCATGAGACGTTATTATTGGTAATTTCAAGCATGGTTTTAGTTGGTGGAAGATTTGGTGATAAATGTTGTGTTGGTCCGGATGAACTCAAGAGGGGTGAATTGAGTTTTATAAAAATAATTCGCTAATTAAAAATTAATTCAAAGCAATAAATCAAGATAAGGATAGAGAGATATTGACACGATAGTTTTTACGTGGAAAAAAGAAAAACCACTGGCGCTAATATCGAATACTGAAATTCGACGGGCAACTCCACTACAAAACTTGTGTACAAGGAGTTCTCTAGTATCCTAGTTTCTTAGTCTACCTATTACTCAAATTTCCACCTGGTATCCTCGTTTCCCAGTACGAAATCCTAACCCTTTAGGATTCTGAAACCCTATCATACCAGGGTTCTCAAGTTACTCTCAATTTCCAAGAAAAAAAGATATGCTGGTATCCCAGTTTCCCAGCACGAACTGGTATCCAAGTTTCCCAGTACAGACCTTCAGAAAGGTTAAGAAGAAATTTACAATTAAAATGATTTACCTCAATGCTTCTTTTCCTCAAGCAGATAGGTAATCTGAATTCCAATGGAGAAATATTCGCTTCGCCAAGAGATGAATGTATGAATGAATGTTCTTGAGAAAGCTTTTCAATCTATGCATAAGAATGAATACTAATTTTGAAAATCTAATTCTCTCTTTTCTCTCTTGTATATTCTTCTCTCTTCTCTCTCTTGTATTTTCTCCTCTTTTCTCTGTCGTATTTTCTCCACTCATGAACAATATGAAATGATCTATGTAATAATAACACTTTCTCTCTCCTAAAAGCCCAAAAGATATAAATTTGAAATTTGAAATCTTTTCGAAAAATTAACCAGAAATCTTTTATCTTTAAATGAAATTTTAAATGCAATTTTCAAAAATAAAATTTATGATTTTTTCAAATAAAAAATATGTAAAGCTTAAATATCTTTTTCTATTATGTAATGCAATTCTAATCTAAATCTTTGATAAAAAATATTTTATTTCTCTTACATGAAATCTAAAAAGATAAAATATATCCTAAACTTTACTTGATTCCATGTTTTTCTCTCTCTTCATGACATCTTTCATATCTTCTCCAATCTTCATGCAGTCTTCAATGATCTTGAATACTATTTCAAATCAGAATAAATATTATTCTGAAATATCAAACAATCAGCTCATTAGTAATTTCAAGATAATAAATTATAGTAAAGCCCCTTTTGGGTCCTTAGCAAATAATACGGTCCTCACTTTACTCCCTTACGAAAAAATAATTAGTCGCCTGGTCCCTTTGAAATTCAAAGTGGACCCATTTTAGTCCTTTTGAGGGACTAATATGGATTTTTTGTGAATTTGTGAAGGACCACGTTTTTGACTAAATGGGTCCACTTTGAATTTTTTAAGGACCTCGAAACTAATTTTTTTTTTAAAGTACTAGTGACCGGTGTTTTTGGTAGGGACCCAAAAGGGGTTTTACTCAATAAATTATTATCAATTAAATTAACATTAAATTGGTTATAATCATCAAAACATATTTTAAATCAATTACATAATTGGGGTATAACAAATATCCAACATGTTGGTCATCAATGTGTTATATTTTACATAATATGCAAATATGAACTTGCCTTGAACGTAACTGGTACTTTGAAATTTTCATATATAGTAAATAAGACAAGTACGAAGATGAGTGACCATTTAAAATCTCATTATCTTAACTATTGGACAAAGCTTGGGGATGGAATTGAATAGAAAGAGAAACTTCTGGGAAAATTGACCAATTTAAAAGTTCTAGGACAAATTTGATAGGACCCCACGGTTAAGTGTTAAGAATTAAATTTGTCATGTTTACCAAACTTTGTTTTTAATACTTGCCTAATGATTGTGCTTTTCAGTTGATTCGTTATTCGTAATACTTAAGATTGAATAATAGAATATTGTGTATTGAATAAATTGTGTATTATAACGTAAAAGAGCTCTCTATTTAAAGAGGCTAAAATACCTAATGGGCTAAGCTCACGAGATATGAGACTATATACACCGAACTATTCTAACAATTACTCTAACACTTCCCTTTAAGCTGGAGCATATATATTGTAAACACTCAGCTTGCCACGAATGTATTCAACCCTAGAACCTCTAAGAGCTTTAATCAAGACATCCGCGAGTTGATAATTAGAGTTGACAAAAGCCGTTTTGATTTCTCTTGACTGAATCTTTTCTAGAATGAAATGACAATCGATCTCTATATGTTTAGTTCTCTCATTAAATATAGGATTAGATGATATATGTAGCGTAGCTTGATTGTCACAAATGAGTGTCATGGGCTATTTCTGTTCACAGATATGGAACTCCCGAATTAACTGCTTTAACCAGATTAGCTTGCAGGTAGTAACTCCTATTGCACGATACTCAGCCTCTGCACTAGAGCGGGCAACAACAGTTTGTTTCTTACTTTTCCAAGAAATCAGATTTCCTCCAAAGAAGACACAATAGCCTAAAGTAGAGCGCCTATCCGAGGGTGATCTCGCCCAATCGGCATCTAAATAACCACAAATTTATGTATTTTCCTGATCTGAATATAATAATCCTTTCCTTGTTGCTCCTTTGATGTAACGAAGGATTCTTACAGTAGCATCCCAATGAGAATCACAAGGAGAGTCAAGGAACTGACTAGCTACACTAACAGCAAAAGAAATGTCCGGCCTAATCACAGTGAGATAATTAAGCTTACCAATCAACTTCCGATAACGTGCAGGATCAGATAATGGCTCTCCCTGTCCAGGTAGTAATTTGATAGTATTATCCATTGGTGTATCAACGGCTTATACCCCAACATACCAGTCTCCTCTAGGATATCCAAGACATATTTCCTTTGACAGATAGAAATGCCCTGTCTAGACTGTGCTACTTCAATCCCTAAAAAGTAACGAAGCACCAAGATCCTTTGTTTGAAATTGACTGAACAAATATTGTTTTAACTGGTGAATCCCAACTTGATCACTTCCAGTGAGAATAATGTCATCGACATGAATTAACAGATAGATGCATTTGTCAGGAGATGTGAACCTATAAAACACAGAATGATTGACCTTATTGCAGATTAAGCCAAAAGCCTGAACGACAGAACTGAAACTGTTGAACCAAGCCCGAGGAGACTGCTTGAGGCCATATAAGGACTTACGAAGTCTGCAAACCATTCCAGACTCCCCCCTGAGCAACAAACCCAGGTGGTTGTCCATGTAAACCTCTTCTTGTAAATCACCATGAAGAAAAGCATTTTTAATGTCTAGTTGAAGGAGTGGCCAGTGACGAACAGCTGCGAGGGCAAGAAACATTCAGACAGACGCCATCTTAGCGACAAGAAAGAACCTGTTACTATAGTCAAGTCCGAAGATCTGAGTAAAACCTTTGGCGACAAAGCGTGCCTTGAGACGGTTAACATGACCATCAGGTTCAACCTTGACATTAAAGACCCACCGACAACTTCTCTGGAGGAGCAGGAACAAGATCTCAAGTGCCATTGGAATGAAGAGCAGTCATCTCATCAGGCATCGCTTGGCGCCACCCTGGATGGAAAAGTGCTTCACCTGTGGTCTTAGGAATAGAAACAGAAGAAAGACTAGAAACAAAGGTGTAATGAGAAGCAAAAAGACGGTCATAACTTAAAAAGGTATAAAGAGGATAAGGGTAACGAGTACTTCGTATACCTTTTCTCTGGGCAATGGGAAGAGCCTCTGGTGAAGGAGCCGAACGGGAAGAGATGACTGGAGAAGGCGATGAGTCACCCATGGTCAAGTCCGCAAGAGGCACTTTCTGACGACGCTAATAGTTGAGAAAAGGGCGGTCTATAGGGATTGAGGCAAGAGGTCTTTGGGATAGTATGAAAGGGTTGTTGATCATGGAAAGTGACATCAGCGGAAACAATATAACGCTTAAGAGAAGAATAACAACGATAACTCTTTTGAATACGAGAATAACCAAGAAAGATACATTTAAAAGCTTTGGATGTTAACTTATCCTTACCAGGAGTGAGATTATAAACAAAACCAGTACAACCAAAGACATGTGGAGTTAGAGGATAAAGAGGAGCATCGGGAAACAATAAATTATGAGGAATGTCATTGTTGAGCACAGATGAATGCATGCGATTGATGAGTAAAAAGAGATGAGTACGACATCCACCCAGAAGTGAAGGGGAACCTGCATATGAATAAGAAGGGTACGGGCAGTTTCAATGAGATGTCGGTTTTTACATTCAGCCACCCCATTTTGTTGTGGAGTGTGAGGACAGGTGGTTTGATGTAAAGTACCTTGTGTAGCCAAGAAATTAGAAAAATCAATAGAAACATATTCCTTAGCATTATCACTACGTAGAATACGAATAGAAATACCAAATTGAGTATGAATCTTAGAAGAAAACTTTTTATAAATGTAAAATAACTCAGAACGTTTTTTCATTAAATAAATCCAAGTACAATAGGAATAATAATCAATAAAGCTAACGAAGAATACTCAGAAGTTGATTATCAAACCTTTCCCATTCAGATTTCTCAGCCTTAGGGATATTAGTAGATGGAACAGTGAGATGACGCCCATGCCCCTGTCCAAAGAACCAGACACGAACAGAGGTTGCCCAATTCTTATAGTTATCAGAATCCCTTAGTTTGGAAGAGGTAATGGGCCCAACATTAGTAGAGATGATAGGAGGAGGAGGGGGGGAGAATTAACCTTCGAGAGAGCAGGGGATGATGCTGCCATTAAAATAAACAGAAAATGCCGGAACACTGTTTCAAGCGATGAACAGTAACTTCGGCGACGAACATCACGGACGCGTGAACTGTATTATACAGACACGATGAACAGTACCCGTACGGACACGATGAACAGTACCCGTACAAAACAAGATGAATAGTGCCACGTGAACAGTATCGTCGCTAAACAGTACCCGTGTGATCAGTTGCAAAAACAAGCCGGAGGGATGCACAACGTAGAGGAAGGAGAGAACACCTAAGTAGTGGGCTTAGGGTTTTAGCGGAAGTGAAAGTTCCCAAAACAAACAGCTCTGGTACCAACTTAAGATTGAATAATAGAATATTGTATATTGAATAAATTGTGTATTATAATGTACAATAGCTCTCTATTTAAAGAGATTAAAAGACCTAATGTGGTACTATATACACTGAACTATTTTAACAACTACTCTAACAGTAATGTATGTAGGAAATATTATTAAAAACATTTTTTATGGTGAAAAACTCATTTGGTTGGAGGGCTATCCAACTTATTCTCTAATGTGTTGAAAAAAGTCGAATAAAAGGTTTCAATGAATAGAAAAACGATATATTTTTGTGTTATTTATTTTGGTTCTCTGAATCCATTCATGAACATGGAAACAACTTCTGAATTTTTTTTTTCCATTAATAGCAAAACTATAAGAATATTCAAGCTGTTTTTACCTTTTTCTTTGGAAAGCTGTTTTTGAATTAAATAATCCCAAAGTGCATTTTTTTGTTTTGTTTTGTTGGTCTTGATAACTTAACTACATTATGCATGAAAACTGCTTTTTAAAATCAAAATTTGAGAATGGTTCCAAGCACACCCTATGTCATCTTGTGGACTAAGGCGTGTTTTTTTTGAGCCCAATAGCCCATTTCTTCACTTGTGAACTGGGATTGATTTCAAAATATGGATATTAAGCTCGAATACTCTAGTTCCTACAAATCATCGAATAGGCATAGTTTGAGAGGAAGGTTGCAGAAGTTTAATCATTTAATGCAATACCAGTCTGATGTGCATGCATGTATGGATAAATTATTTATTTCTATTCTTAACATTTAAATCTATTTCAGGATTGCCTGCCCTCTATACATTTCTATCTATACTCCTGCTTATATTTTATATTTATCTGTTTTAAACAAAGGTTATGCTTAAATTCATCTCTCTGCATTTCACTTCTTGTTCATTAATGTTTATTCTTACGTCAGACTTGAGCTTTGCAACTGGTGTAACCATACCGGCTGGAGCTGTACTGGTTGCGCCTGTTCAATTGGTACAGAAGGATGAATCCAGTTGGGGATGCAATGCAAGTGATTTTAATCCATACCGATTTCTGTCTAATGGTACAAACGGATCAGGTATGAGCCTTGATGCTTCATTGACATGTTTTGTACTGTCCTTATGTGTAACCTCGAGTTTTTTATTTTAATAAAATTTTCAGCCCCTCACTGTGGATTTTGTCCGCTACCCTGCCGTTATTGCAGTACTTGGTACTATTTATTTAATTTTTTAACGACTTCTACTTTCATTGATTTTTTCGCAGTAATTTTACTTTTGTTATGTCTTGAATCACATCAATATCACACACTTATGCATGAGCGCATATGTATATAACTTGAATTTAATAATATGGAATTGTAATATTGAATCGTATAAAATCGGTACAAGAGCTCTCTATATAAAGAGTACTGAAAGACCTAATGGGCTAAGCCCAAAATACACTTCTAGAGTATTCTAGCTATTACAAATAAATAGATAAAATACTAATTCTAATATTTACAACACTCCCGCTCAAGCTGATGAATAGATATTAATCATTCCTAGCTTGCTAGTAAGCTATTGAAACCTATCATTAGAAGACCCTTAGTCAAGACATCAGCTAATTGACGACCAGAAGGGATATATGGAGTAGTAATCAGGCCACTATCGAGGTTCTCTTTGATGAAGCGATGATCAATCTCAATATGTTTGGTTCGATCGTGTTGGACTGGATTGTGGGCTATACAGACGGCTGACTTTTTGTCACAGAATAACTTCATAGATCCTTCATATCTCACCTTGAGATCATCCAAAATAATTTTCAACCATAACAACTCACTGATTCCTTGAGCCATGGCCCGAAATTCCGCTTCTGCACTTGATCTAGCAACCACATTTTGCTTTTTACTTCTCTATGTTATTAAATTTTCACAGAGAAACATACAATAGCCCGAAGTAGATCGTCTGTCTGTCACAGATCTAGCATAATCGGCATCTGTATAAATCTCTAAGGAGAGATTTCCTCTTCTCTGGAACAATAATCCTTTGCCTGGTGTGCCTTTCAGGTATTGGAGAATCTTGTCCACAACTCGCAAGTGTTTCTCCCTTGGATCATGCTTGAATTGACTAACAACACTAATTGCTTAAGTTAGGTCAGGTCTAGTATGAGCTAGATATATCAATCTTCCCACTATTCGTTGATACTGTCCTTTGTCAATTGGAGGGCTCTCAGTTTCACTTCCTAGTTTGTGATTATGCTCAATAGGAGTACTGGAAGGTTTGCACCCTAGTTTTCCTCCTTCTTTAAGGAGGTCAAGAACATACTTTCTTTGACAAATAAAAATGCCTTGTTTTGAATGAGCAACTTCTATTCCAAGAAAATATCTCAGATTGCCAAGATCTTTAATTTCAAATTCAGCAGTCAGTCTTTTCCTCAAAGCACATTTCTCATCTATATCATCTCCTGTTATAATCATATCATCAAGATAAACTAGAAGGATAGTGGTCTTACCTTCTTGAGCATGTTTAAAGAAAAGAGTATGATCTCCTTGACTTTGCTTGTATCCCATTGAAAGCATAACTTTGGTAAATCTTCCAAACCAAGCACGCAGGGATTGTTTCAAGCCATACAACGCCTTCAATCTGCAAACTTTATTGTCTCCATTTGTAGAGTTAAATCCAGGTGGGATCTCCATGTAAACTTCTTTTTCTAATTCGCCGTTGAGGAAGGCATTTTTCATATCAAATTGTTTCAAGTCCCAATTAAAATGAGCAGCAAGAGATAATAAAATTCTTACAATATTCATTTTGGCCACTGGAGCAAATATTTCTTCGTAGTCAATACCATAGGTCTGTGTGAACCCCTTGGCTACCAGACGAGCTTTATATCTCTCAAGAGTCCAATCAGAATTATACTTTGGAGTATACACCCATCCGTACCCTACTGCCCTTTTTTTATTTGGCCTATCAACAACTTTCCATGTATTATTCTTCTCCAACGCATTCATCTCATCCTGCATGGCTTGAACCCAATTATCATCCTTTAATGCTTCATGTACTGATTTCGGGATTAAAATGGAGTCAAGTGCTGTAATAAAACTTCTATGCTGCATAGAGAGATTCTTAGAGGAAACAATAGGGTACATGATCTTTTTCCTTTCCTTACAGCAATGGGTAAGTCATCAGAATTAATATCAGGCTCAGGAATAAAAGAATGAGTGTATTCAGTACTTAGCAATGGTTCAGGCGATTGCAGTTGCTGGTGGAGCAGTGTGGGTAGGGGTGTAAATGGGCTGGGCTAGGCTAGGCTTTGGCTTAAATAAGCCAAAACTGTGTAAAAAACATTAGCTATGGCCTGGCCTATTAGCCTGTGTAGGCTCCAACTTACAAGTCTGGCCTGACCTAAATTAAAAAAAAAACCTTGGCTTAGGCCTGTTAGCCTGTTTAAGCCTATTAAACATTCAACAATTAAATGAATAACTAAAATAAGATTATTTTATTATTCAAAATTATTAAATAATAATTTTATTTATTATATTTTAAATAAATAATATGATATAGGCCGGTATGTAGGCTTATAGGCCCGACATGTACAAAAAAGCCTATGGTCTGTTTTCTGAATACGGTTTTTTAAAAGCCTAGGCCTATTCTATTTTACTACTTATAATAGGCCAAGCCTGGCCTAAAATAGGCTAGGTCGTAGGCCCCTGTAGGCCGGCCTAGCCCATTTACACCCCTAAGTGTGGGTTGTTTCTTCCTTTGATATACTAGTTCAGGTGTCCCAGCTTTGCGTATTCTTTGTCGATCAATAGGAGGCATGTCACATGAGGATTCAGATCTATTTTCAGTCTCAGCAACTAAGTCTTCTTTCTCAAATTGGGTAATCGGTGTAGGCAACATAAAGGGAGACTCAGACTCAGAGAAAATGGATGAAGCTTCTATACTGTTCTCTCCCTGAAGATGAGGGTGTTGAAAGTAGGACTCAGATTCATGAAAGCTAGCATCCATAGAGACAAAGAATTTACGACTTGGAGGGTGATAACATTTGTATCCTTTCTTGTTGGGAGTATAGCCAAGGAAGACACACTTAAGGGCTCTAGGTTCTAATTTACTCCGATGTTGTTTATGGACGTGGACAAAGGCAACACATCCAAAGACACGAGACTGGAGACTCTGCATAATAGGAACAGAAGGAAAGAAAGAAGTCATGAGATCAACAGGACTTACATGGCCAAGGACTCGGGAGGGTAAATGGTTGATCAAATAAGCTGCAGTTAATACAACTTCTCCCCAATAAGAGTTCGGTACAGATGTTTGAAACAACAATGCTCTAGTGATTTCAAGCAAATGCTGATTTTTCCTTTCAGCAACCGCATTCTGTTGAGGCGTATCCACACTTGTGAGCTCATGAGTCATTCCTTTGTCTCTAATAAAATGGGAAAGACGCTAATTAACATATTTTGTACCATTATCTGACCTCAAGCGTTTGATACTTTTACCAAATTGGGTTTCGATCATATAATAAAACTGAATAAACAACTGTGTTACTTCTGCCTTATCTTTCATCAGAAATATCCATGTTATCCGAGTATAATCATAAAAAAAAAAGACAAACCATTTAGCACCAGAAACATTAGGGACTTTGGAAGGGCCCCAAACATCAGAATGAATAATAGTAAATAGTTCAATACTTTTTATTTCACTAAAAGGAAAAGATACACGATGATGTTTTGCAAACTGACAGACATCACAATTAAAAGACTCAACAGACTGAGACACAAACAAAGACGGAAACATAGACTTAAGTAAATTGAAAAGAGGGTGACTCAAGCGCTTATGATAAAGCCAAATAAGAGAATCTGAAGTAGACTGACAAGTCATCAAAGTCTGATCCTTGGTACCTTCTGCAACAAAGTCTGGAACCAAATAATACAACCCATCCTGCTCCTTAGCAACTCCAATCGTCTTCTTCGTGGTGAGATCCTGAGAGCCTGTTTGGATCCACTTATTTTTAAGCTAGAAGCTATTTATAAGCTAAAGCTAAAAAAAAGAGCTTAAAAAAAAAAATTAAAAGCCGTTTGGAAATTACATAAAAGTTTTAGCTTTAAAATTACTTAAAAGCACATATTTCAAGAAAATTATCTCTCTCTATCTTTATCACTCTTCATTTTAAAAAAAAGCACGCAATTCAAGAAAAATAGATAAGAGCTTAAAAAAAAGTTCCTCTTAGGAGCTTTTTTCTTCATTATAAAAAAAGAGCTTTTCGTTATAAGAGTTTTTTCCAAAACCTGTTTGGCCTAGCTTATGTTTATAAGTAGCTTCTAGCTTAAAAAAAAGAGGATCCAAACAGGCACTGAAAAACACAATGAGTAGGGAAAAAGGTTACAGTGCAATTTAAATCTGTAGTAAGCTTATGAGTAGAAAGGAGATTGGTAGAAAGTTGGGGAACATGGAGAGCATTCTTGAGACACAAGGACAATTGAATTTTAATGTCACCAGAACTTGCAACTGATGTATGTGATCCACCAGCTACGGCTATAGTACGAATACCAACAGTAGGTTTATAAGACAGAAAAAGGTCAGTGCAGCAAGTCATATGATCAGTAGCACCAGAATCCACAATCCATGAAGTTTTGAAATCAATACAAGAAGCAACAAAAAAATGAATGCATGAGTTCTTACCAGTCATAGCCAAAGAACCAGTACCAGAAGGTTTATTGACAGATGCAAATACGGACCTAAGCCGTTCCAATTTCTCACGACGAATAGTAGTAAACTCACCAGGCATCTGTGAGGTCTCATTAACAGGAGAAATTTCTGAGGAGGCAAAGAAGGATTGACCACGTGGGGCTGACTTACCAAACTTCTCCTTAACCTGTTGTTTTCCATGAAGACGGTAACAAACCTCTTTTGTGTGACCTGGTTTCTTACAATAGTTACACCAACGCTCCTCTTTACTAGGCTTAGGAGGAAAAGACCTTTGTGGTGGCTTAGTTGAGACCATAGCAGATCCGTCAGTGGGCTCAGAATTAAAAGGAGTTGGAGTAGTAACTTTAGATGAGAGCATAATAGATCCTTCAGACACTTTGGTATCCATCGTGACAGCCCTGCGACTTTCTTCACCCTTGACAGTGTGAAAAACTTCAGAAAGAAAAGGTAATTTTTCCTTACCAAGAATTTGAACTCGAATAAGGTCAAATTCTGAGTTGAGACCACAAAGAAAATCAAAAATCCTATTGCGTTCAATCGAGGTGGTCAGAGTGGCTGCATCCTTGCTACATTCCATCTTCAAATTCTCGTATTGATCAAGCTCAGTCCATAACCCATTTATAATACCATAAATATTCTGTTATAGAGAGAGAGCCTTGCTTGGTAAAAAAATTCTGATTCATTAGATCATAACAAGTGGCAGCATCTTGCTTCATTGAGTAAGTCTGTCTGGGAATATCCCAGATCTCAAAAGCAGTCGGTAAGAACATGCAATGTTGACTAACCTCAGGAGTCACAGAGTTCCATAACCATGTCATAATAAGAGAGTCTTCATCATCCCAATCAGCAAATTTTGGATCTGTTTTAATAGGAACAGGTCCTTCAAGATGAGTAATTTTACGACGCCCTTTAAGAATGGTACGAACAAGTTGGGACCATTGTAAATAATTCTTCCCATTAAGATGATAATTCTGATGAAGAGGAGGAAGGTCATTCAGAGAAAGAATAGCCATTGAACTAGTCATCGAGCGTGTACCAGATGATTGATTGGTTGGAGTATTTTCAACGCTTGACATAACAAGGGCTGAGAAAAAGGAAAAAAAAAAAAACGACCAAACAACAACGAATAAAGTAGTGATCAGTACCAAAAAAAATATTGTAGAAAGATCCTAACCGAGTCAAAATGCCACAATAATCACAGATCCAAGTGCGCAAGAAAGAGACGAGCTGAGCAAAGGTGGGCCGAGGTGGATCCCCTCCGTCAGGGCTGTCACGCGCCGGAGAACTCCTCGGCTCGTGGGTGTCACGCGCAGAAGAAGGAAGAGCGCGTGGAGGCGCGTGTCTGGTCTGCCAGAGCTGGGCTTCTCAGGTGATGGTTGCCCGGAGGTTGTGCTCCTGTCTGTGAATGGCCAGAGTCCAAAAGGTCACTGGAACAGTGCGTAATAGTGAAAAACAGATCCGGTTCACTGTTTTCAACGCTGTGTGGTGACGTCGTTGACCAGAAACAATAGATGAAATGATAGATTAGAGGAAATGGTGTCCAATAAAAGTCCTCTCGGTCCAAAAGGTCACCAGAAAAATTTTCCGGTGGCTGATGGCGGCGAGAGGCAGACAGAAAAAGGTTTCCACTCTAACGGCGGCGGTAATTACGGAAGCAGAGCCCTCAGAATCGAGAGCTCTGATACCAACTTGAATTTAATAATATGGAATTGTAATATTAAATTGTGTAAAATCTGTACAAGAGCTCTCTATATAAAGAGTACTAAAAGACCTAATGGGCTAAGCTCAAAATACACTTCTAGAGTATTCTAGCTATTACAAATAAATAGATAAAATATTAATTCTAATATTTACAACAATATATAATATTTGATGTAGACTTGGACTGAGCTTGTGTTTTATTTGCCAACGCGAATTCCCAATCTGGGTAAATTATGTTGGCATGTGTTAGGCAATCTTATACTAGACCATGTGGGAATTATGAGTAAGGGGAAAATGAGTGATTTTGGCTGTAACAACCTTGCCTACATGGCGAGAGGGTGGGAAGACAGGGGAAACAGTAAGAAATAAAGATAAAATGGAGGCAAAGGTAGGAGAGAGAGAACATCCATTCATTAAGTAGTCTTACCGCCTTTGGCCAAGGAGGTTGCAGACCCTCGAAGTCCTTTAGGGGGCGCTTGGTACAGGAGAAATTTTTTTTTATCCTGGAATCATAATTACTGGAAATATGGTCCGGAATTGAGTTTTCCGGGAATGTTATCAAAAAATTGTTTGGTTAGTCAAAATATTACCGAGAATATTAGGTAAAGATTACTGATTCCATGTTTGGTTGATTGTGAAATATTTCTGGGAATATGGGTTATTTTACAAAAGTAACCCCTTAGTATTTAAAAAATATTAAATAGAAAAGATGACCCATTTGTACAGATCTAAGCACTGACTAGAAAATGAGTTCCATTTTTGTAACACCGGTGTATAACTCAGTGTCTCAGTCAATGCTTTAGACGAAGCTTCCCTTCCCAAAAAAATAATTAAAATGACTTATATCATAAGCTCACATCAGAACCTCAGGACTAAAAAGACAAAATACTAGGAAGAAGTCGTTCTTTTTTTCATATATAAAGACGAAACATGCAATACTGGAAATTTTAAAAAATGGGAGAAAAAAAATTGAACTCACTGAAGCAAGTAACACAATTCATCGTCGAGAACCGGTAAAACAAAATCGGTTTGTTGCTGACCAACAAATCGAAGTAAACACACCAGCTCTGTGAATCTTTACTGCCGACAAACAAAAGGAGAGCACAAGAAAATAGGGAAGTTTCGATGAATATATACCCAGGGTATTTTTGTCTTAGATTTTCGTTTTCATTTTCCATAGAAGTGGGATTTGTCAAATACCACATATTTTTTGGTAATCGCAAATGACACTTTTCTTTGTAAATGAGAATACTGGTAAACGAAGATATCTGGGTAAAAATTTTGATTACCTTGTACCAAACATGTCATTCTATGATTACCAATGATCATTTCCCAGTAATATTCACAAATACCATATACCAAACACATCCTTAGTATTCTCTCTTTTGTTTTCTTGTACTAGGAGTGACATCTAGGGATTCCAATATTTGAAGGAAATAATGTTAGGCACTCTTTAAGGTATATGTAAAGAATTAATTCAACCCAAAAGCCTAAACTGTTGGGTAAAGCTGCATTAATGGTTTTATATATCTCAACACGCCCCTTCACATGAGAGCTCACTGGGCTTGAAGGGTGGACAATGCACAGACCCACCTACCTGTGCGAAGAAAGAAATTGCACTAGAAAGAAAGTGGGGGGCAGTGAGGATCAAACCCGGTACACTGAGGCTCTGGTACCATGTAAAAAACCAATTCAACCCAAAAGCTTAAGCTTTTGGGTTGAATTGGTTCTTTACAATATCTAGTTCAGCACACTACGTGAGACAGAAAATATGAGTATGTATTACTATAATTTTGGGATCAAGGTGATTCCAGAAGGTAGTATTGAAGCAATTGCAGTGAATGAATGGAAATTGTTAAGAGATATATAAAATTATTAAAACCATTAATGTAGCCTCACCCAACAGCTTAAGCTTTTGAGTTGAATTGATTCTTTACATGGTATATGAGCCTTCGTGTCCCGGGTTCAATCCCCACCGCTTTCCAATTTCTCTTGTGGAATTTATTAAGCTTTTGGGTTGAATTGGTTCTTTACATAGTATTAGAGCCTCAGTGTCACGAGTTCGATCCCCACCGCTCCCCATTTTCTCTTGTGGAGTTTCTTAGCACAGATAGGCTGGGCCTGATGCATCATCCACCTTTCAAGCCTAGTGGGCTCTTGTGTGAGGGGACGTATTAGAGTATAATATAAATCATTTAAAAAGACCTAATCTAACAACTTAAAATAAAAGTGATTCGAGAGGCTCCGATCTCTCCTAAACTCTCATCTATTTTCAAGCTACCCTTACATGTGTTCCTCCTTCTCTTCAACCCGCCCACTACCTACAAGAAGTTGTAAAACCTTTGTTGAGTCAGTTATGGGGAATGGATCCCCTGTGCTTATGCCACCTATATACCCGCATAATGGGTGGTTTCGTAACACCTAATTTAACCATGTGGGAATTATGAGTAGAGGGTAAAAAAAATGATTTTGGTTATAACAGCCCTGCCTACATGGCAAGGAGGGTGGGAAGGATGGGAAAACGGTTAGAAGCGAAGAGAGGGGAGCGAAAGGTAGGGAAGAGGAACATCTGTGAGTGATTCAGTTATTTCTCCACAATAAAATACCTAGTTCCTATCAGTATTCGTCCTCTATTATGTTTGGAGACAAAAAATCATGATATTTTCTCTTGTTAATGCCTTGCGTTTCTTAACTCTAGCATATCCACTATGATGTAGAAGTTGTGTTAGGTTTGGGCCTTTGGGGGCATGTTGAAAAGGAAAAAGACTGTGTGTAGTGTAGGTGGGGATGAGAATTCACTTGTGTGGGAAGTTGGAATTCAATCTTCATCAGAACTTTTCAGATTTGTCCTTTATAGGTGGTAGGGTAGAAAATTTTGTTGCTTATCTATCATTAATCTTTCAATATTAATAACTCTTTCAGGTTCTGCTGAAGAACTTTCTGATACTGGATTCAGCTCATTTGTACTAAATGATCCGAACGAAAATGCAGCATTTCTTCCTTTTGGATCTGGGACACGTGCTTGCATTGGGCAGAAATTTGTTATACAAGTTGTTGCCACATTGTTGGCAGCATTGCTGAAAATATATGAGGTTCGTCCACTGAATTAGTATTTTTGTTCTTGCTATTTCTGTCAAGAGAGAAAGACATGAACACAACCTAAATCATAAAATTGCATAACGTCAAATGTTGAGTACTTATCAAGGTGGAGGATCAACTTATGCCATTGTAAGTCTAACAAGTTTTACACCCATTATTAGCCGTTTATCCACTTATGTCTAGCGATTCACGTGACTAATAAATTAGAATCGTTAGATGTAAGTGGAATTAATGGTTAATAATAGGTGTAAGACTTACACTGGTGTAAGTTGATCATTCCCCACTTATCAATTCAAGTAAGGTAAGACATGAGAGAAGGGAATACAAAGTGAGGAGTGAGAGTATGTTATGTAGTAAACAGTAATAAAATGTCAAGTCACTTTTTGGACGTAATGGTGGGTTGGCACACTTTAATTATGATTTGGCACAGAGTGGGTTGTGACTTTTAAGAAGTTTATGTTCCTTCTTTGTTTTAAATATTCCACTCTGAAAGCAGGGTTGATTGTGGTGGTGTTCTACGGTAAATTGTTAGTAATCGTAGCACGAATAGCAAAGTGTATAAATTTGAACAGATTGAATTAAAAGTGTGATGACTGGGATATATTACAAGTATTTTCTTGAAGTTATGATCCCATGATGTTACAGAATTATTTTTTTTGTTATCAGGATGTAGTGTTTGGCACTTAATATATAAAACATATCATTGTTCTGTAATAACTGATGTTAGCTTTATATACAGATGAGGCTGGACTCAGGATCGGATGATGACTCAAAACCAATATTGAAGAATCATCTTCTTCAGCATCATCCTGATTCAAAGATATTATTTGTGAGAAGGGACCAGTGAAAGAAAAGAAGTACAAGCATACTATGTAGATAAAGTTGGTCTTGTAATTCTAGTCAATAATGCAGAGAATATCTGGACTTTTTTTTTTCACCACTTGTTTATTTCCTTCTTTTTTTCTCTCAAAGATGAATGGGGGAGGCTCTCAATATTCATGGCTCATTGTGGTCATCTGGGAGGATGCAACATGAGTTTCACAAGTTTTTTTCCTCCCTGTTTTTAAGCAATGCCCTAGTGCTGGCCTCAGGCCATGGCACATCTTTTTGTTGGTTTTTTAAGCACTTTGGGCATATTGCTGCTATGGAGCCTTAGGTTTTCCTTCCCCTTCTCTGGATGAGGACCTCTCTCTTTTCTGATGTTAACAATGTTTTTACTTCTGAAGGAAGTTAGTTCTTGTATCCTGATATTGTCCGAATAAAATGTACTTGGATATTTACAGTGTCTTCTTAACTATCAAGATTTTTGTACAACAGATGTTCAACCTAAAGGAAGGTTAATTATAATGCGGATAAATAAATGCTTTATAAATTGATATTGGTATGAGAAATACTACATTGTATGCTGTGATAATAGAGTAATGGTGTGGATATTGTGCTTTTGTATCAGATGCAAAAACTCATTGCAACTACCGAGGAAATGTTTTGTAGTAGGGTAGTGAACAGGTAGGACGGATTTATGAATTGCTTTAAGAAATCGTTAGAATGAGTGAAGATTTATTAAAATTTTTGGAAAAGTTTAAAAATCCTATTATGGTTTTGTCTTGAATCACTTATATTCTTATGTTTTTTTTTATTAATTATTTATCCTCTTATGTTTTTTATCATCTAAATTCATCGTTAAAATCGTTAGAAATTAAGTTAATCTGTCTATTATACCCCTTTTAAAATAAGAAAATAGATTAAGGATAAAAAAAGCAAAAGAAAAAATAAGATTAAATATATTGAAAATTTAAAACACTTATAGAAAAGATTCAAAAAAGAAAAAGAAAGATCAAGTATGTTTAAATAATAAAGAAGAAAATAGACTTAATACAAAAAAAAAAGGAATAAATAAGATCAAATTTATTAAAAAATACAACAATAATAGAAAAGATTAAAAATAAAAATAGTATAAATAAAAGAATAGAAGAAAAAATAAGACCAAATATGTAGAAATTTATAATAATGAGTTCTTTTTTTTATTTCTTTTTATCTTATTTTTTCTTTCATTTATTTTAGCAGTGATAGAAAAGACTAAAGCGAAAAAAACAAAATTAGGAAAAAAAAGATCAAATATATCTACAGAAAAAAGAAAAAAATAGACTCAGAAAAAAAATAGACGAAAAATTATTAGTGATTTCTTTTTTTTCTTTTTTTTTTCACTGTCTATTTTCTTCTTTTCAATTTAGTCTACTTTTAATTTTTATTTTAGTTTTAGTTTTTTTTATCATTATTATAAGTTTTCAACATATTTGGTTGTGTGTTTTCTTCTTCTTTTTGTCCTTAATTTATTTTCTTAATTTTGTTTAAATATATTTGATATTTTTTCTTCTATTATTATTATTATTATTTTACTTTTGTCTTTTCGGTAAGTGTTTAAGTTTTCAATATTTTCTGACTTATTTTTTTGTCATTGGTCTATTACTTTTTTCTAAGAATGGTAAAATATGTAAATTAATTAAGTTTATAATGGTGTTAAAGATAGTGATCCGGATAAAATATACGCCCAATCAAAGCCCCACAAGGAAAGCCCAAGCCCTTCCGAAGCACAAGGAACAAGCATTGACGCGATGCCCACATCGCGGTGTTCCAGACGCGATATCCCCATCGCGACATACAGGACGCGATGGTCTCATCGCGGCACACAAGACTCGATTCTCGTATCGCGCATGAAACCTTCTAAGAGAGGTAAACGTAAGGCTCAAGATAACTCCACCACGCCTTAGCTCCAGTAAACAACGAACAGCTCCAGCTTGCCTCTAATCTACTACTAGACCCTTTGGAAGATAAGGCTATATAGGTCCCCTAAATAACTTGCAGCCCAAGGCTGGCCACTTAGAACCCAAGCCGCCTTAACTAAGGCGGCATCCCAGTTACTATATAAACACACGATATACCACCAAGGTACGATCATCCTTTACTTTAACAAGATAACACACCTGCCTCTGATACTAACTTAAGCATCGGAGTGTCTTCGCAGGTACCACCCATTTGGTGCAACGTGCCAACGTGAAGGACAAAAGCTCAAGATCAATCCGACAGCAATACTTGGTCCAGGCCAACAACGACGTAAGGTGATTCAACCGTGTGTGATTGAGCTCTATACCTATAGGCCAGTCCATACTGTATTTGGTCCGATCATTGGCTGTGGGAACATATGGGGCCACTCCCCTTACAAAATTATACAACCCAGAGTAACAAACTTCAAAAGAAAACATTAAACCGTCTGTATTTACATATCCTGAGGGACATCATTATCAGCAGCGCGATCATCATTGACAGTAGGAGGACCTTGAGGAGATGGCTCATGCAAGGATGGCGCGATAGGTTCAGTATCTATCGCACTGATCAACTCCACTGGAACTTCTTCATTCTGCTCATTAAGTACCAGCTTGGTAGAAGGATTGAAGAAGCGCACCTGCTCCATAACATTTACGAAGGTTGCTTCCGCTTCCTTCTCAAATAAATCCCGATACCTCTTCACCTCACTGGTCAAGAATGCCTTCTCTTCGGCCCAGGTATCAACGTTTCCTTCCAGTTCCAAGATACGCTTGGACAGATCAGTCTTTTCTGCTTCCAATCCCTTATTGGAGGTTGTCAGGGCCTTCAGGGCGCCATCCTTCTTCGCCATAGACGTTTTTAGTGTAGATACTTCCTCTTCAGATTTCTTCAATTTAGCTTCAAGGTTAGCATGTTGTTGAGCATTTTCACCCTTCAGCGCCTCAATTCGCGCCTTTAGGAAATCCACTGAGCCTGTTAGATATTAAAGAGCAGTAAGTATATATGCAATATCATATCATATAAACAACGAAATATCAAGGTAATTACCAGGTGCAGACATAAGGAATTGACCCGCTATGGTCAAGCTCTGGGACATCTGTAGCCATTGGTCTTACGACAACGCTTCCAGACGAGCGCCAAACTCTTTGCCTTGAGCGCGAATATCTTGGTCCAACTTCCAGCCAAAGTCTGGCCACTCTGTAGTAGATCCCCCAGTCATCTCCTCCAGGGATCTTTTCTTACCCCTTGCGGTATTTTCCACCACTACCACAGGAGGGATGACATCTAACGGGGCGGTAGGAGGAGTTAAGGACTTCATTGGAGACTTCAACCGCGCTGCAGCATGCTTGCTTGTTTCTGCAACAGCAGCACCCGCAGACATAGACGGTTGAGGAGATCTTGAAGCACCAGCTGCAGCGCGGTTGGCAGCAATCCTTTCCATTTTACTTAACGATGCCGTCATCGAGCTATCTGCAAACCAGGACAAATAAATTCATGATTAAAGATATTTCAAACATAGCGCGTCATCGCAGTATACTCAGATACTTTGATTAAAACATTTACAAAGTGAGTAAGGGTCTAAGTTACCCAGATAAGCTCGAATATCATCATCGGAATACTCATTCAAAATCGTGTACGTGCTCAGCGAGCCCGTATCAGAAGCTTCTCGAGCAATGTTACCTAAAGTGGTCACTGTCTTCCGTTCTACATCACTCAAATCAGTAAAATTATAGACCAGGATAGCGCTTTCAGTTGAATATTTTGACCAATATAACGGAAAGATAGGAGTCCCATCATCGCCTATAAAAAAAGGTTTGGTACCTTCGGCGGGGTAAATCTTGAAGTATTCTGCGCTCCACTTGTTAATCTTTCGTGAATATGACTCACAGAATTTCACTTTGCTCCTAAATGATATCCAGCTATTGCGAGGTCCCATTACACTAAACATATACAAGAATGATTGCACAGATTTGAACAGACCGTAGGCATTGCAAACCATCTCGTACACTCAGATAAAACCCCAAGCGTTGGGAGTCAGCTGTGAAGGCGCCACATTCAAGTGCGCCAAAAGTTTACAAACAAAAGGTGAAAAGGGCAACCGAACACCTATGGATAGAAAAAAGAATGAGTACATCATCATGTAATGCCTGGTTGATCCTTCGGCCAACGATGAACAAACGCGCTCATTCTTCGGGACAACACCAACTTCTCATTGGTCATCAAAAGCTTTATTGGGGGTCAGGTGGAGAGCTGCTGCTTTTTCAGCCAATTCTCATGGGGAGCAAAACACAGACTCAGTATCCAACACTGTGTCTGCCACCCAACTAAGGGTATCTTCATCCCGTAGATTCCGGCTAACTGGCTGCTCATCATCGGGGTCAAGGCGTAGGATTTTCTTCTTCGTGTCAGATTGCAATTATTGTTTTTTCTTCTCATGGGCACCGCGTCTTGCCATTATCTCTCTGATCTGAGGGGACACAAAATCTGATTCAGAAGAGGAAGAAGAATCAGCGGAAGAAGACAAGTCAGAAGAAATAGGCGTATAGTTATCAAAATTCCTTTTCTTAAAAGGATACCCGGCAGGATAAACGACATTTAACGGTAAAGGACTAGGCCTCTTTTGACATATTATAATTAATATGTTTATAAATAAATAATTTATATTTTTGAGTACGTAATTTATTTTTAGGATAATATTTAAAATAATTTATATACATATATTTTAATTTTAATCCTTAATTATAATTTTGATTTATAATATGATAATAATATAGGGAAAAATATTTATCGCAGTATTAAAAGATAAAAATTAAGAAAAATAAAATTATATATATATATATATTATAAATAAGGCCACAAGAGATCCAAGTGATATATTTTAATAATCACAATGGTGTTTACCAAAAAAAAAAATATATAATCACAATGGTTATATGTAAGAACCCGCACCGTTAAATTATAATTTTAGAAATTAAATAATAATTAAATGAGGATTATTAAATGGAAGATTTAATTATTTTAATTATTTTATGTTAAAGCACCTTTTTGAGAAAAGAATAAATATTGAGGGTTTCGCGGTAAAAGTGTAGTAGGCGAGATTGCCCAAAACTTAAAGATAATTAGCAATTATTAATCCATAAATTTTATGAAGTTAATGACAATATAATAATTATGATAATATTAGTAGGAAATATTAGTTATTGAAATTTGATCATTTTCGGTGAAAAATGCTGATACAACGGCTAGCGCGATAGAAACAGCGGGTTTAGGAAAATACCCGGAACTGAAAATAAATTATAGATTTATGCGTCATAAATTTTATATGACACAACAGTCCAAATTGATTAGAGATTTAAGCGAGTGAGGTTTTGTGGATTTATACCGGTTAAGTTAAGTGATATCATATAATATGACTAAACACACTTACTCCTTCTCATTCTTCATATCACCCATGTTG